GAGAGAGAGAGAGAGAGAGAGAGAGAGAGAGAGAGAGAGAGAGAGAGTCAGCTGGATCTGTCAAAGCCAGACTTTTTGTCATCAGTAGGAAACGGATTTCATCCCTCTGAAACAACTCTGATTAAACAGCACATCACATTATTCCCCTTATTATCCAAGTTGCTTGTATAGCATCAGTCTATCTTTAGTCGACTCTCTCCATCTCTTTGTGTGAACCCTCTCATCGTCTCACTCACCCCTTTTCTTGTCTCTCTCTCTCTCTCTTTCTCAGTCTCTAAGCAGAGTGGCAGACAGAGTAAAATATTAATTACTAAATCACTGTGCTCCCTCAGCTTTTATTCATGCTGACTTGACTAGATAACGAGAAACTGAGCCAATGTGCATTATACACACACATATATGGACTCTCTCTCTCTCTCTCTCTCTCTCTCTCTCTCTCTCTCTCTCTCTCCCTCTCCCTCCCTCTCCCTCTCCCTCTCTCTCCCTCTCTCCCTCTCTCCCTCTCTCCCTCTCTCCCTCTCTCTCTCTCTCCCCAGAGGAAACTGCTGATGAACTGTGCCATCGCACTTCAAATGTTTCTTTATGACAGACCATCGACAAAACTGTATCGACTTTAAGCTGTTTTTGACCATGTTGTAATAGCTGTAAAACCATTAGGTTAGTAAATAGAAGTACTCCTGGATCCTCAAAAGAACTCTAAAGGAACCATGTAGAAGGGTAAGTACTTTTCAAAAATAAATGGCTCTTTAAAGAGTTCTTTCACCCATAAAGAAGCTTTTTTTAAAGAAGCTGTATGGCCTCGGGGATGTCAACATTGTTGGATTTTGTATGAGTTCGGTCAGAGTCTCAATGAGATGCATTCATGGAATAAATTGTGCAAAATTGTTTGTGAAGTCCTGATGCAGATGGGGTCCAGAGGGGAACTATTGTACTCTTAACTCATAAGTGCTGGATCTGGAAAATGATGTCTGTTTTTGACAGAAAAATAAGTGTTAAAAGAATATCATCTTTTCAATAAACATCCAGTTAAAAACAAGTAAATACAATATTTTAATTATACATTTTAGAAAATTGGATCTTTTCTAATTTTTCAACAGAAGCAAGATTATTTCACCTTCACCCCTAGCATATTTTTCATTTTTAAAATAAAAGCCAAAAAAGAAGCTTTTTTATAGGTTAAAGTAAAAGAGAAAAATCCAAATGCTCTTGAGATTTCTCAGTGGCGGTATAGGGGCAGCAACTGTATGCTGGGTTTGAATTTAATGTGACAAATGAATCATACTCTATGTCCTGAGTAAACCTCTCTTGTGTAATAAAGGGTTTCTTTTATTTTATCCAACAAAATGCCCGTGGCCTCGCAGTCCCACAACAGGCCAGACCTGCTGTTGTCACAAATACCAAAGAGGAGGAAAGAAAAGGGAAAATAATGGAAGTGTAAATGTGCGAGAGAGAATAGGCAAAATAAAAGCATGAGAGAGTCTATAAATAGGATACATACTGTAGCCTGTGTGGGTCCAAGAGTTGTGTGTGAGTGCACCGGCTGTTTGTGTGTGAGAGTTAGTAGCAGCCTCATTTTCTCACATGCAAATGAAGGCGTCGGCGCAAAGATAACGAGGCCCATATTTCCACCTCCTCAGTGGGGCCATTATTTATTGATGTTCTGCATCTTTCCCCCTCCCTCCCACTCTCACGCTTTCTTCATCCTCTCCCTGTTGCTAGGGTCTTCTCACTGCCATCCTGTTACGATTTCCGTGTACTTTCAGCAATTATTAAAGCACTATCAGTTTGCAATCAACAAGGACGAAACAGTGAAACCCTCTGTGTCGCGTGACGGCGAAAATCATAATGGTGAATTGTCAGTGAAACTAATTGGGAAAGAATAGTATCAGTAGGTAGTTGCTAAATATAGCATTTTCAGATGCAGGTAGGGTTTTGTATCCAATCAGAAATATTTCCCGAAACCATTCAACATAATACACTTTCTTTATAGTATTCCCATTTCCTGAGTGTCAATCTGGATTTAGAAATGCAGTTAAGTCCAATTGTGTGCCTTGAAATAAGAATAAAAACAGGAACTTATTTAGCTTTTAAACCCTCAGGACTTACCTACTCAGAGTAATTACAATATTACTTTGGGCCTGTTCATTGGCAGTTCTATGTGCAGTTCGGAAACTAAGTTGGACTTCTCTACCCTTAACAGGAAACTAATTTAGCTCTTGGAAGTGATACTGACCTACATGCTTTAGAGGGGCACATTTCCACACTATCTAGACTATTCTATTTTAGGAGACAACCTTTTTTCTTCTCTTAGCAGGAATTATCCTACTAACCTGTCCGGAATACAGCTTTTCCTGTGCACCAAGCATAAAAAAAAACAACTAAATTAAAATATAGTTGAACGAATGATCGCGCAGCACTCGCAGCTCTGGTTAAAACCACTGCTGTTCCTGTGGGAGTTCCCAGTATGGACCCCATATCTAATCAGTTCGTAAAAGGCTAATGAGCTATCGAACTCACATCCCTGTTTTCCCTCTGGCGGAGCACTACAATCTGATCCCTGGAGTCTCCGTCTTACTCAACACTGTTGACGGTCAAAGGAAAGTGGTTCCTTGCCTTGAAGGGCTCTCCCAGTTAAATGAAGGTTAGCGTATTTTCACTGCTCATTACGATGACTATGAGCCAGCACAAGGAGAAAAATGTGCCAAAGCAGCGGAGGGTCAGAGGCTTTACTCCTCCACAACAGCAACAGTATAAATCCTCAGATAGATGCCTGCAGCGCAGCGTGTTTATCCATTAAAGAGATGTGGTCTAAAGTTAGAAGATCAGAAGGAACTTGACTCAAAAAACTCATTCACACGGTTACCTTTACGATTACGCTTCACAGGGAAAGATGGAAGGTATGCTGAAATGTGGCCATATGATAAGAGACAATGCACGTCACATATTATGTTACACATAGGCATATTTAGCAGAAAACCCTGTTATGAAACGTGAATTATTATATAATAACGATCTAGTAATTTTCTTCCTTAAATTGATGCTGTGCCTGGTGTATGTATGAGTGGGTATGAATGATTAGCTAGAGTCCTGATGGGCAGGTGGCACCTTACGTGGTAGCCCCTGCCATCAGTGTATGAATGGGTGAATGATGACATGTAGTGTTAAAGTGATTTGAGTGGTCGGAAGACTGGACCATTTACCATGTACAGTTGCTTTAAACATTTCACTTAAAATCCATTGTTGTGATGAAATGTATTAACCCTATAAACTAATATATTTTCACCAAATACCATAAACCATTGGAAGAGGAGACATGTTGCGGAAAATATGCTTTGGAGATATAACTTAAATGAAAAAAAAAACATTTTATCTACGTATTTGATGAGCGCAGTGAACTGTAAACATTTTGCTCCAGCAGACCCGAGTCCTCCTGTGTAATGCCAAAGGTAGCTGTCTGGTTTGAGCTCCAAATATCCCCAAAACTCTGATACACACAAACACAAATGAACACACATGGACGTCAAAGTTAAGTTAGTTCAACAACATGATAGAAAAAGTGGCCCACAATCTGATTTCGACGTTAGAAAAAAAACAAAATCACATTCTCTTTCTCTATACCTTATACCCTTGCTCTCAGCGGCAAGTTGCAGAGAAGAATTTGAAAGATGGTAAGACGAGAGAGGGGAGGAGGAACGGATCAAAGACTTGTGACTGTCACAGAAAGAAGAAGAAAGAACAAAAAACGCAGTATATTCCGGAGATATTCTCTGCGGTGCTGGAACGTGCTTGGTGCTCACAAATGCAGACATGCCAGGCACAAACACACACAGAAACACCTAACGGGCTTAAAATAGGACAACAAATATTTCCCGGCTGGAATGAAAAATAATAAACTACGTTATAAAATTAGCACAGTGGAGTCAGTGAATGGCAGCGGTCCAGTTTTGCAGCGGAGGAATGTG